GGGGACAATATCAGGCTCATCATTCCTGTCAATCTGCTGGTCAAAAGTTGTGTCACTGTGAAATACTTTACATAGAAATCAAAAGAACACTCCTATGAGCAAAATAAAGTTCAATATTTTATTCTTTCATCATAGTGGAAGCAAGTGCTTCACTGCTGTCTTTTGCAAGAAAGCTGCAAAGCACTTCATAGACAGATAGGTATAGATAAATAGATTTTTTTACAATAATTGAAAGATTTAATAATGATGAAAACCATTATCACCAGCATTTCGTAGTACTGTGACTCAAGATTAAGGCCTGCTGTTATGGAATCGTCTGTTTATAGCATTATTCTGTGGCTTTATAAGTCATACTGAATGTACTTTATTCTATACAGTTTAAAAGCTTTATCCGCTTTACATTCATAAATATGGCCAATTTAGAAACGCAAATTAACCTTACATGCCTGTCTTTGCACTGCCCAAGGAAGTCGGAGTAGCCAGATAAACCTACACTGGCACAGGGAGAACATGCAGACTCCAAGCAGAGAAGCCTGAAGGCTGGAGCCCAGAACCTTCTCACTGTGAGGGCCAAGTGGTAACTCCAGTAAAAACCAGTCACATATTATTAGGTCTAATTAAGTGTCACTAAATTAAAGATGATATTAGCCATTAAGTATCTGATGCTGAAATGTTAGGACTCTCACCCATGGCGTTGATAGCCTGAGTCATCTCGTGAGGTTCTACAGTTCCACTTCGATCCCGGTCAAACATCATGAAGTTCTGCTTCCAGCCGTTGAGAGCTGAAAACAGCTCCTTAAACTCATTGAAACCCATCTTGCCTGTCAAGTCTCTCTGGTGACAGGTTGGTTAAGATTTAAGCGCAGATATGAGGACAGTAATTGCTATAACAAAGCAAAGGTTGAGTCACGCCTGCTATAAACCTGAGGAATTTCACCTGAAAAGTTTGATTAGGATATGACGAGCAGCATATTGCAGCTACTTAGACCAAAGATACTGTACAAAAAAGGATACATCTAGCATTGCAATCATGATCCTGCATGTGTCCAGGCTGAAGGCTGTAAAGATAATACACATGTTAGAAATTACTTGAGGCAACATTTTTATTTTCATTTTAAAGATAACACAAAAGTACTGCCTGGTGGTTGAAAGCAACTTTCAGAGCTAATACCATACTCAAAACATCCCAAGATAAGGTCTGGATTTAGGAAGCTCCTAAAAGAAGTTCCATGTGACTCCAAATCGTATGACTCCTACAAGGTTTCTCAATAAAGCTCTAAACTAGTATTTGCTCTTGTGAAAAAGCTGGTGGTGATAGGGCTGCTCGATTATGGCAAAAATGATAATCACGATTATTTTCACTGAAATTGAGATCTCGATTATTTGACGATATTTATTTAACCCTTTAAGACCTACCATAGAACCAAGTCCGCCAGAGCTTATATTATTTTT